AGTCAATTGGCCAAAACTGTGTAGCGAGCCCGTGCCCCTTTAAGGGCTCCGGGGCCGGGAGAGGGGCAGACAAGTTTCCCTGTGTTGGCCAGAGTGGCCACCCGGGAAAGCTGGGAAGGGCTAGCCTCCCACTAGTTCGAATTAAGTGGCTACACAGCCCTTAATTCGAACTACTTAATTCGAACTAGGCGTTAGTCCTCGTAGAATGAGGTTTACCTAGTTCGAATTAAGCACTCCGCTAGTTCGAATTAAGTTCGAACTAGCGATTTGCCTGTGTAGCGCCTATCAAAGTTAATTCGAACTAACGTCTGTTAGTTCGAATTAACTTTGTAGTGTAGACATACCCTCAGAGTACCTTCATGATAGAAACAGTTTGCAAAAATTACAAAATTTCCGGTGATTAAAATGAGTAAACATTGACTTTGAGAAAATTATTTAAAAAACTCCCCTTGTAATCAGAAAGGAATACTGATGCAGTAAAGGGGTATGTCTACATTTGCATCCCTAGTTCCAACTAGGGATGCAAATGTAGGCATTCAAAATAGCCAATGAAGTGGGGATTTAAAAATCCTGCACTTCATTAGCATGATCTCGTTGGCGCGTTACTCCGATCAATAGCTGTTTCGAAAGTGAAAGTGCGCACCGGGATGCATTAGTTCGAACCAAACCCCTTGGTTCAAACTAATGTTACTCCTCAAAGTGAATAGAAAGCCTAGTTGTAAGGCTTCCAAACAATTTCCTGCAGTATGCTATCTTTACAATAAAATTATACAGGCTGGATCCACTTGCCAACTACTACTATAAGGCAGTTCTGTTGTTAGAGGGTTTATCTTGTTACCCTCCCACTTCCCTGGTCCTTCTGACATGAACAAAGAAGAGCAGTACCTGAAGTCCAGAGATGCAGATAATTCATTGCTTACTGGGGTTACCTTCCAGCAAGCATGAATCCAGTTTCCTTTCCTTTTCTCCCTTGTCCTCAACTTACTTCCCATTTGCCCCCAATGTATATACTGGTTGCACCTCCATGATCTGGTAACCTTGCGATCTGCCCTCCTCTGCCCTGCCCATGGTTCAGCTAGGCGGGAGGAGGGGCAGGATTCGGCGCACAGCTCAGTTGGGCTCCAGGGGGAACCAGGTCCCCCCCCCCGTTCTCCCCATTATCTCTCTCCTCGCCCCCCGCCCCCGCCTAGCTGAGCTGCACTCTGGGCTTCCTGGCTCTCAGTCCTCACTAGCCCAGCTGGGTTTTGCATTGTGCCCCCTGCACCATGCCAGGCTCCCATTCACCACTTCTCCCCCACAGCATATTGGTACTTTCTGATCTCGGATGTTGCCAGACCAGAGAGTTTCAGTTTATAGAAGGGCAACTTATAGTAATATTTTCAGATATATCAAACCAATCATTTTACTGAAATGTAATTAACCAATCCTAACATATTTTAAAATGATTATCTAACAAATTATATATCCCACTCGCTCAATTGGTTTATACGTAGCAAAATTAACTATACGGTAGGCAGAAACCAGAAGAACCAGACAGAGACCACACGGATAGAGAGGTGGGAACCATAGCAACAAAACAATAAAGATTCCACACCCCCAGCTATTGTTAAGTGGGTCCTTGCTAGACAGCAAGCTCTCAGCTTTCTTTAAATCGTCTAGGCTCCTCCTTATCGGGAGGAGATGGATTGTGTCTCCTTCCTAAAAGCCCCAAATTGCCTCATTTCAACGCAACTGCTGTGGAATGTGTCAGGACATGACTGTATGTTTCCAGCTTATGGATGCTTCTTCTGCTTAGCCAAAAGTCTTAGCTTAAGAACGAGGCCTCAAGCAATCATATACACATCTGTGATTTTGATTCTCTGTCATTAGCAAAAAAGTAAGAATACACCTACATTCCCAAAGGCGAGGCCTTTGCAGGCTGGCCTGAATATCTGTATCCTAACACTTAGGTCTAAGCAGCATCCATATTATGCAGAATATTTAAATGTACAGTGCCTGGGAATTGCACAAAGTACATTATCCTCACAGGGCTGGTATCTCAGTATCTGCTGTCAGTGATATTTGTTACAGCTGATACCCTCACTGGGTGAACAGTATTAACATGGTCAGGGATAATCCCATTTACTTCACGATGCTCTGGGTCAGGTTCTGAATGGAATATAAACTACTCTTTCAATCACACTGCTATTTTTCTTTCCCACTCAATCAACTCAGTGTTATGGCACATTGGCTGGGTAGTGTAGAAAGTACTTTGTTCTGCAACTGACTTTGTGTTGCCTATCTTGTTAATAAAGGTTTTTAGTTCTAGCCAGCATCTTTCGTCAGTACTGTGGATGCAATTTTAAAAATAGCATCAGGGACATAGGACCACAAGTCCCCCTGGATCTTCACCATATAGTTCATGCGATATTCTCTATTCGCTTTTTATCTCATGTAGTTCACCAAAAGGCTGCTTTAATGTCATACCTTTTTTTTTCAAGAATCTTGGTACCTGGCATACATATGTTTCCAAAAAGGGATATTTTTCAACAAGGCTTGGATGTTCATTTCAATAGCCTTGACTGCTACAAAATGGCACTAATAGCAGTAGAGCATTTCTTGTAGGCCAAATAACCATCAGATGTTAGAGTATGTCTACACTACCACCCTAGTTCGAACTAGGGTGGTTAATGTAGGCAACCGAAGTTGCAAAGGAAGCCCGGGATTTAAATATCCCGGGCTTCATTTGCATCTTACCGGGCGCCGCCATTTTTAAAGCCCCGGTAGTTCGGACGCCGTGCCCGCGGCTACACGCGGCACGGAGTCCGAACTACTGGGGCTTTAAAAATGGCGGCGCCCGGTAAGATGCAAATGAAGCCCGGGATTTAAATATCCCGGGCTTCATTTGCATCTTACCGGGCGCCGCCATTTTTAAAGCCCCGGTAGTTCGGACGCCGTGCCCGCGGCTACACGCGGCACGGAGTCCGAACTACTGGGGCTTTAAAAATGGCGGCGCCCGGTAAGATGCAAATGAAGCCCGGGATTTAAATATCCCGGGCTTCATTTGCAACTTCGGTTGCCTACATTAACCACCCTAGTTCGAACTAGGGTGGTAGTGTAGACATACCCTTAGTGACTTCCAATCACTACTGATAAGGAGCAGATAGAACCAGCCACTTGTAAGTGAAAGGTTCTATATTCTAACACATAACGTAGCTCTGCAGTCCTCCCAAATTAATCTTTTCACATGAAATGGCTAATAGGAATAAGGGTCAGTCCTTGATGGGATGAAATGCCCCAAGAAAACTGTGTCAATGTAACTGCTAATAGTTTACACAGACAATGTCAGATCTAAATCACTCAGTCCCAGGAAAGAAAATAATTTAGAAAATTAAGGTTAGGAACTATGTCTTTCAAATTTAGCATCTTTCCTTTGAGGCCTGTGAAACGTCAAAATCACACACAACTAGCTCATGCCATGTTCCTAAAGGAAAAGTGTACAGTAATCCCTCCCAGGGAGCAACACATTACTGACCTGCAGCATCTGCAAATAGCCTTCTTGTGGGTCACACAGCAGTGAAGATATCCGATGATTATTCCTCATGCATCTCTGAGTGTTGTCTCTTGACAGCGGGAAGATTTGCCGGATAACTGTCATCCTTCCAAGAGCACTGTGGACCAGTTCTAATATTTCATTATCACTGATTTCCTGTGAAGAGAAACACAGTCCTTTAAACAATTAAAAAAAATGTTTCATTGTATTCCTGCTATTACTGGATCAAATTTTCTAAACAGTTCATGACCATGGATTATTTTAATAGATTCAGTCCATGATAAATAATCCTATGTTGTGCATGTTAATAGGACTGTTTTATATGTATCATGTAAACCCTAGAACTCAACTTTTATGCCCAAGCTATCTTGGCTCTTCTAATACATTAACTTCTGAACTTATCATAGCAAAATAATGAGATGATTAAATATCTTGATTAAATAAGAATCAGCAAGTTCTTTCATCCAAAATTTAAACCACATTCGGGCAGAAAGAAAGTTGGTTAATATTTTATATCTTTTTATTTAAGAGCATGTCATTCTGTGCTTTGTCACATGCGGATTCTACTTAGGATCAAAAGCATAAGCAGCAGAGCAGCCCACGAAAGGCTGTTCTTACTGTAATCTTGGCCCAACCAAAATCTCATGAGAAAATGCTACATTTTGCAAGGCTGATTCCCAGTTCTACAGACTAAAAGGTTTGGAGAGTAGCTATAAGTATCAGGAATCTTTTGAGGGTTCAATCACATCAGCAAATGAAGTTAAGAACATAAGAACAGCCATACTGGCTCTGACCAAAGGTCCATCTAGCCCAGTATCCTGTCTGCCAACAGGGGCCAAGGCCAGATGCCCCAGAGGGAGTGAAGAGCACAAAGAATCATCAAGCAACCCCTCTCCCATCACCCATTTCCAGCCTCTGACAGAGGTTAAGGACATCATTCCTATGCATCCTAGCTAATAGCCATTGATGGACCAACCTCCATTAATTTATCTAGTTATTTTTTGAACTCTGTTAAAGTCCTGGTCTTCACAACCTCTTCTGGCAAGGAGTTCCATAGGTTGATTGTGTGCTGCATGAAGAAAAACTTTCCTTTCTTTGTTTTAAACCTGCTAACTATTCATTCCACTTGGTGACCCCTAGTTCTTATGTTATGGGAACAAAGTAAATAACTTTTCCTTATTCACTTTATCCACACAAGTCATGATTTTACAGACCTGTATCATATCCCTTGCTTAGGGTGTGTCTACACTGCACCACTATTCGGGAATAATGGCCATTATTCCGGAAAAACAATAGTAGTGTCCACACTGCAATTGTGTTATTTTGAAAGAAATAATGGAGGACTTTTTCTGATGTTGGTAAACCTCATTCCATGAGGAATAAGGCTTCTCCTGAAAAAGCTCTTTCGGAAGAGGGTATGTGTGGAAGCTCGACTGCTGCTATGTCAAAATAGCTCCTCACCATGGCCATTCTAAAGTTATTCCTCCCCAGTGCCTCCTTGGGCTCTAAATTGGGATAGTGGGCAACATTAGGGGAGCCTGCCTTGTACGAATTTTGAGGCTTCCCTATAATGTGGACACTCTATTTCGAAATAAGCTATTCCAGAAGATATCTTCCAGAAAAGCTTATTTCAAAAGAAGCTTGCAGTGTAGACGTACCCTTAGGCTATGTCTAGACTGCAGGCTTCTTTCGAAAGAGGCTCTTTCGAAAGCATCTTTCGAAAGAGCCTCTTTCGAAAGAAGGCGTTCTTCAATGTAAAGAGGCCGTCTTCGAAAGAGAGCATCCAGACTCGCTGGGTGCTCTCTTTCGAAAAAGCGGATTTCTCTTTCGAAAGATCGCGTCTAGACTGCAGGTGGATCTTTCGAAAGAGAAATCCGCTTTTTCGAAAGAGAGCACCCAGCGAGTCTGGATGCTCTCTTTCGAAGACGGCCTCTTTACATTGAAGAACGCCTTCTTTCGAAAGCTCCTCTTTCGAAAGAAGGCGTTCTTCCTCGTGAAATGAGCTTTACCGCCATCGAAAGAAAAGCTGCATTCTTTTGAAATAATTTCAAAAGAACGCGGCTTGAGTCTGGACGCAGGGGAAGTTTTTTCGGGAAAAGGCTACTTTTCCTGAAAAAACCCCTGAGTCTGGACACGGCCTTAGTCTCCTCTTTTCTAAACTGAAAAGTCCTAGTCTTAATTTCTCTTCATATGGGACCTGTTCCAAACCCTTAATCATTTTTGTTGCCCTTTTCTGAACCATTTCCAATGCCAATGTATATTTTTTGACATGAGGCGACCACATCTGTATGCAGTATTCAAGATGTGGGCGTATCATGGTTTTATATAGATGCAATAAAATGTTCTCCTTACTCTCTATCCCCTTTTTAATGATTTCTGACATTCTGTTTTCTTTTTTGACTACAGCTGCACACTGAGTTGATGTTTTCATAGAACTATTCCCAAACAATCTCTCTATTGAGTAGTTATAGCTAAATCAGTCTCCATCATATTGTATGTATAGTTGGATTATTTTTTCCAGTGTGCATTGCTTTACATTTATCAGCATTAAATTTCATTTGCCATTTTGTTGCCCAATTACTTAGTTTTGTGAAATCTTTGTGAAGCTCTTCAAAGTTTGCTTTGGTCTTAACTATCTTGAGCAGTTCAGTATCATTTGCAAATTTTGCCACCTCGCTGTTTACCCCTTTCTCCAGATTATTTCTACATAGGCTGAATAGGATTGGTCCCAGTACGAACTCTTGGGGGACACTGCTAGTTACCTTTTTCCACTCTGAAAAATTACCGTTTATTCCTATCTTTTGTTTCCTGTCTTTTAACCAGTTATCAATCCATGAAAGGACCTTCCCTCTTATCCCATGACAACTTACTTTACTTAAGAGCCTTTGGTGAGGGACCTATCAAAGGCTTTCTGGAAATCTAAGTATACAGTATCCACTGGATCCCGCATGTCCACATGTTTGTTGACCCCCTTAAAGAACTCTAATAGATTAGTAAGGTATGATTTCCCTTTACAGAAACCAAGTTGACTTTTCCCCAACAAATTATGTTCATCTATGTGTCTGACGATGTTATTCTTTACTATAGTTTCAACTAATTTACCTGATACTGACATTAGACTCACCAGTCTGTAATTTCCAAGATCACCTCTAGAGCCTTTTTTAAATATTGGTGTCACATTAGCTATCTTCCAGTCATTAGGTACAAAAGCTGATTTATAGGAGAGGTTACCAACCACAGTTAATAGTTCCGCAATTCCACATTTTGAGTTCTTTCAGAATTCTTGGGTGAATGTCATCTGGTCCCAGTGACTTCTTACTGTTCAGTTTATCAATTAGTCCCAAACCAGTTCTAATGACCCCTCAGTCTGGGACAGTTCTTCAGATTTATGGAATTCCTTAACCATCCTTAGCCATGAAGATTGATGCAAAGAATTCATTTAGCTTCTCTGCAATGACCTTGTACGCCATGACATTCTCCCTATCATAGATTAAGGTTAACAACTTTCATTTTAATTAAAATGGTTGAGATTAGCCTCAGATTACCATACAAAGTTAATTTCCTGTGATTTTGGCATGGAAAAAATGTTTGCCTTGATCTCTTTTCCTAATCGTCAACATTTTTCTGAATCAAATTTTTGGGGTTCCCTTATAAATAACAGTGATAGAAATGTAGCCGTGTTAGTCTGGTGTAGCTGAAACAAAATACAGGACTATGTAGCACTTTAAAGACTAACAAGATGGTTTATTAGATGATGAGCTTTCTTGGGCCAGACCCACTTCCTCAGGTCTGGCCCACGAAAGCTCATCATCTAATAAACCATCTTGTTAGTCTTTAAAGTGCTACATAGTCCTGTATTTTCTTATAAATAACACTGATTGTGTGAAAATATTTGGGAATGCAGAGAACTAGCGACTTCTCTCACAGAGCATTGAATATTAGAATGGATTTTTATTTGAAGTGATCAGAATGGTAAGCATCTTCTCTTAGGGTATGTCTACACTACAAAGTTAATTTGAAATAACAACAGTTATTTCGAATTAACTTTAGTAGTGTCCACACAGCCAAACCACTATTTCGAAATAAATTCGAAATAGTAGGGCACTTATTTCAAATTTGGTAAACCTCATTCTACGAGGAATAACACCAAATTCGAAATAGCTAATTCAAAATAAGTGCTGAGTAGACACTTATTTCGAATTGCGGGGCCTCCAGCCCTTCCCAGTTTCCACTGGTGACCACTCTGGGCACAACCAGGAAAACTCTTCTCCTCTCCCCCAGCCCTGGGGACCTTAAAGGAGTAGAGTCTGGCCACTGGGCACGTGCGAGAGCCAGGCCTGCGAGCAGCCACAGAGCCTCAGTCAATTCAAAATAAGTGCTGAGTAGACACTTATTTCGAATTGCGGGGCCTCCAGCCCTTCCCAGTTTCCACTGGTGACCACTCTGGGCACAACCAGGAAAACTCTTCTCCTCTCCCCCAGCCCTGGGGACCTTAAAGGAGTAGAGTCTGGCCACTGGGCACGTGCGAGAGCCAGGCCTGCGAGCAGCCACAGAGCCTCAGTCAGTGGCTGCACAAAATCAGACC